CCCATTTCTTTTTGTGCTCATTGACCTTTCAATAACAAAGGAGCATAAAAAAAAAAAAAAAAAAAGTTTTAATAAAATATAGCAGGAGAACCTTCTCGGCATTGAGGACCTGCAGTTTATGGGTTTTACTGGGGCCGCTAGGAGTAATTAAGGTTTTCATGAACAGCTCCATCTGCTGGTGCACCCCAGCACTGTACAGCTCCCTTACAGAAAGTGGTGCTTTATGGGCACTGCTGCGTCAATGGTCAGACAAAGGAAACCCATTTTGAGTAATGTGGGCAAGTCCATTGCTGACATCCTAGAGAAAATGTCAAATGGAAATGATTAAAGCCAGATAGTGTTATGCTAAAACACACCCAGATTAAAGTAAGTTATACATGCAGCGAATTTCATCTGGTTCTTCATGAACTGGCCAAAATTCGCTGCGTGGGTGCTGCCTGCTGCAGACACCCTTCTGCCCGACTTCTAACAATCAGCTGATCGTTGCATTTGGTGATTCTGTTCAGAGGTCAGCAGCCACTGTGACAATACAAAATAAAGAGTCAATAGTGAGAGTTTCCTTGATCAAAGCTCGTATTTTCTCGTTCGTTCAGCCCACATGCTCCATCTGCATGCTTGTTTCGGAATAGCAACTCCAAAGTTACCGTGCTTACAAGATTACAAGAGCCAGGCTAATGACATTTTACAAAAGGAAAGATCAGCAATGGCAGCCTCTATATCTCAGCACATGTATCCTTTAAAGGAAACCGATAGAGAGTGCAGGGGGTGCCCACAATGTAGATTTTTAATTTTATTGACTCCTCCATCCTAGATTTAAAAAAAAAAATGACCAGAAAACACCTTATCTGCAGAGACAAACATCAATGGTGCCTGGTACCTGGTTTGTTTACTCCAACCTCAGGCCTGGTGAAAAGATTTGACAAGGGGGACATCCCCAAAATGCAATACACTTGGCATACAATGGACTGCGGGAGAATACTACTATGCATGTCGGCACAGAGGGTTTAGAAAAAGATGGCTTCCTTTTCAAGATCGTCAAAAACAATATTCAACCAGGAAATCCAGTCATGTGCTTCCAAGGTCTAAATATGGCTCCTTAGACATGCATGTGCCTGCTCTTACTGGGTTATATTTAGGGCTGCAACCAACCGATCGATTATAAATCGATAGTTGTCACCTATTCTCATTATTGATCAGTTGGTTGGATCCCCTAGCTCTTTTCTCCACACTGAGAGGAGGGCAGAGCAAGCAGTGGGCGGGTGCAATAAATAGCCAGCCTGCTATTGCACCCGCCCACTACCTGCTGTATTTACATTCAGTCGCCGTCTGCGGAATCTTGCCACGGGCAGCTGTCATTCCCTGCCTGAAGCTATTCAAGCTCCCTGTGCTTACAATACAATTATAAAAAAGTGGGGAAGTCATTTTAGGCCTGAAATTCTGCTGCGCGAGGTGCATTGCAGTGCCATTCATTTCAAAGCGCACCTCCCACCCACAGTGTGATCAGCCATACTGGAATGCACGGTATTGCAATGGCGTGCGTTCCAGTGCAGTACGATTGCAAAAAATTGTGCATGCAGTTTTATTCTGAAGTAAACCAAGTTTGTGTCACTGCATTTGTGTATTTTTATTTTAAATTAAAAGGATGGGATTTCATTTTTTTTAATCAAAAAAAAAATATTAAAAAAAAAAAAAAAATCGGCCAATTGATTATGAAAATCACGGGGTCTTCAGTTCCACAGGAGTTAAAGAACACCTTCATTCCGAAAAGTAATGTGCACGCAGCTAGGTGCTACATTTATTGAATGCATTTTATACACCACAGAGCTAGCAATCTAGCAAATATAATAACCCAAATCAAAAGACTCAGACACATTTATACGCTGTGAATTTGTTTTTCCAATTGAAAAAAACACACAGCATTATGTGTGCTTAACTACCTATAAACACCAAAAAAAAAAATCAGTTTCAATGCAGGCAGACTTAAAGCCTGGAGAAATTTTTTTATTTAAGCCTCATTTAAGATAACATGGCAACTAAATGGTAAGATTAGACTATGCAAAAAAAAAATGCATATAGTAATATGGGGAGGAAATGTTTACACAAGTAACATTCGTGATTATTGGTGACCATTTCTTGTTTTGAACCATCAAACCCTTATCCTACATGTTTAAAATGGACAAAAATCAATTTTTGTTTTTCCTTCTAAACCAATAAATCCTTTGAAATTAAGGATTAGTTAGGGATACCAACACTGATTGACTATCTGACAGTCCTTCCCCCTCCAACAAGGTATACGGACCAACCCATGTTCCCCATCTGCTCCAGCAGGAGCTTGCACTTGGTTAAGAGCTCATACACCAGGGCGGTTGGGGGATCAGCGCGGTTACTGCGCTGATCTCAAAACAGGGAGGTTTTGGGAGTTTAATTGCTTTTCAGCGCTGAAACGCAAGTAAAAAAGCCCAAAACCTCGCTGATCAGCACGGTTCCATTGAAAGCTGTATGGAAACCGCACCGATTGCGGTTTCCATACACATGAGTGCGGCAAAAATAGTGCAGGGAGCAGCTTGGAGGGGGTTTCGCATCGTGCGCGGTCGGATAAACGGTCCCCATAGCAATGTATGGGATCATTCATGTCGGCAGATCCGTGCGACCGAAGCGCCCCGGTGTGAACGGGGTCTTTGAGATTGACCAGATGGATGACTTCACTGTCCCCTCTCCTCTGTGACTGGGCATGGAAAATGGCCACTTAGACATAACATTGGTCACATGTGTGAAGCAAGGAAGAACCACAGATCGGGGAGTACACCTAGCTGGGGAAGGGGTGGGAGCACATCATAAGAAAGTGTGTTTTCTTAAGTCCGTACTTCCCATCAAACTGATTCACATTAAAACAAGTCCAACTACAAAGGCCAGATCATCGCTTGAAGCATCTTACTCACCACCGTCAGATCTCACTACAACAAAAGAAATTAATCTAGGTGACAGCAAGCTCTCTTTCCATTTAGAGTAAACAAGATCTCACCGAGCACAGACAACAAAAAATGGTTGGGAATATCATAATCATGCCTTGCTTGTGTGTCACATGATTAAGGCTCTCAAATAAAACACTTAAGAGAAACCAACAATCATTTATGGTTAGTTTAGAGGACACGGAGCAATGACAGAGTTATTGCTCATCCTTACTGAACTTTGCCTTTTAAAGATCCATGACTAACATTATATGCTACACATGCCTGAAGAAGGTTCATGTTTAACAAATCACACCTTGAATGATGTACTCCAGCTAATACCTGCCTCAAGCGCATGACATTCCAGTAACTGGATAACAGAGTGGAAAAGTCATAAGGGCTTAAAGGCCAGGGGCTGACAAACTAAAGAGACAACCTGGATAAGTGGTTAAAGTTGAAGAATTATCAGCATGTCCAGTTGCGTTTCATTTACTACTCAGATTTTTACTGGGTGAGATGACTGAACTCCTTACAGACGAATACCCATCAGATTCAGCACTCAATGGAACTTCAGATCTAAAACTTCTAAAATGTCTATAAAGGCTTGTATTATAGGCCTTCAGATATGGTGAATGAACTGCGGCTGGACATCAACATATACAAGCCCGGTGTGTTTATATTTGTGAACACGAAGAATCTTCGGCCAGTGTAGCTCTTCAAGAGGGTGACCTTGGGGCTGCAAAGTGTCTTGCATTTTGATTCATATTCTGGTGACCGTCACTTTAACATTAGGATGGTGTAATAGTGCTCAAGAGTGTGGCCACCTCTTCCACCTGATGGCTTACCACAAAACTAGAACTCTGAGCAGTCCTGGACTATCATTTGTTATTTTCTGTTTTACAAAGTCTAAATACTTGCTAGGTACAGAAACTGGCATCAACGGATAATTAACGGCACTGCGAGTCACCCATACCGGCCCTCAATAAGCAGAGGCTTTTAGGGTAAAAATAGCAGAACTACAATATGCAGCAGCAAAAATACGAGATTTCTAGAACCTTATTCAAACTTCGGTTCTGTAAGCACAGTGTTTAGGATAATCACTCTGCAAATACTTCTACAAGGGGATCCCTGATGAGTTATGTGACGCGATACGCTACAGATAGCCTCTGTAGGAGTTTCAATATTTAAAGCTTTGGTTTCTGGTTGGGACTTAACAGGAATGTTACGAGCGTCATAAAGAGGAAACACAAGCGGACTTCTGCTAAAAAGGAGGCAGCGGACAAAGTGACTATGGCCAGCAACTTACGAGCCTTTTTGTTTAAACATCCCTCGACTTCCTGTATGCTCTCAAGTCTGCTTCCTGTAGGTCACCAAACCACAAGTTACACATCCTGACGTTCCTTGGTCGTGAATTACAACTTGAGGAGCATTTAAAACTGACACAAACCTCAATAAAATGCTAGGCAAGCACAACGCAACTTTTCCCCATTCTGATTGGCCTGGCTGAAAAGGTAGTACAATCGTTTGAGAAGTTTAGTGAAGTACTGCTGTCTTAAGCTTTGCGACGCGTAAAAAGAGTGACTCTGTCCAGTAAAAAAATATATATAGATATCTATATTATTCATGACATCACAGGGGGGCATATAGACTGAACTTGCTCCTAATCCCACCCTGTTCTGCAGCCCCTACAAGCTATGTTGTAGTGTCAGGTTTACACCAAATGCACCTTTTAAAAAGGTGGGGGGGAACAAAAGTAAAAAAAGATTTTACAAAATGTAAAAAATTACATTGAGAGAATTAAAAAAATAGGGAGTGTTGGGAACACAAACCCATTTCCAAAACTGAAAAAAAAAAAGAAGAATCAAGAGTGCAAAATAACTCCACTCTGAATTGGATACTATTAGGTTAAGATAATTATTGAACTGAATATTCACCACAACAAACCAATGTAAAAGTTTTTTTCTTCCTTTTTAAAATGTACCCCATCTAGCAGGCAAACACATAGATATGGGCTGTTGAGTACAATCCTGACCCCCTCCCACTGTGAGTGGTAATCTTTCCCCTTGAAAACTCTAAAAGAAAAAAAAAGAAAATAATGTACATACTTAAGCATCACCTGCAATGTCAGAGAAGTCCAGGAATAATACAACCAAACCTTTAACCTCAACCTTTCTGCAGCAATTCTACATTGAGATTACAAATAAAAAATTAAAATGACATGTTCCAGTACTAGGAGTCAGTGGCAGCTACAGCCTTTGTTTCTGCGGGCAGGTCAGTAACACGCAAGCCACTGATGATGCAGCTGACTTTTCGGCACTCTCGTTCCTCAACGCCCTCTCCCTGTCGTTCCTCATTCCAGAGGCGCTTAAGGCGGAATTTTGGTGGCAAAGAGTCCTCCTTTTTTTCTGCCACAACAGCATCACTAGTAATGTTCTTAACTGCTGCCTTGTCTGCAGCCTCAGCTGGTTGTTCTGTACCCTCCTTAGGGTAGTTGACTTGAGGTGAAACGGTGGGGAAATTTGGCCAGGAAGGGGCAGCGGGTTTGACAAATGTATGCTTTTCCCTCTCAGCATCTGGCCTTGAAAACGGTTTCTCGTCATCGCTCTCAAAATCATCTTTGTCTGAAAATTCGGCTTCATCCTCAGAGATGGCTTCATCGTCAGACACTGGCTCCAATTTCACGGGTGGTAGGGGAGCTTGCGGAGGAAGAGACCTCATATCCTCAGGACGCTGCTCCCTACTCTTCCTTCCCATTGGAGGAGGCTGCAGCTTAATAGGGAATGCTGGCTGCTCTTCAGGAGGATAAGGGCGATGGGGTGGTGGCATCATGAAGCTGGGCATTCTTGGTAAAGTCCGTGGACTTAGGTGGTAGTTAAATACAGAGCAAGCCTGGGCCTGCAGGTAGTGTTTCATCTCTTCGGGGTTAAAGTTAAAGCAGCTGCCGCTCTGAAACGCTGGGCTCAGTCCAGGTGAAGGACTGTAAGAAAAGACTGTTGGAGTCAAAGACAAGGCTGGGGAGATGGGCATATTGAGCAAGCCTCCGCGTCCTGGAAGAGGAGACACAGAAAAAGGACTGTGGGGATCTCCATACATTCCAGGCATTGAGAATACTGGAAGCATGAGATCAGATTTATGCTTCTGGAGGCCATGGGTGCCATGGCCAACTGTGTTTCGAGAAGACATGAAGTCTGCGCTGCGGCGCCATTCTGAGTGTAAGTCTTCAGGTTCTGAGGGCATCTGCTTGCGTTCACCAATATCGTTCAAGGATTCGCGGCTAGACTGTGCTGTGGAGCTTCCAGAGAAACGAGAGACGTGAGCATCCTCATTAGGGGAGTCTAGAGACGAGAAGTGGAAGTGGGAGGAGGCTGAAGGGATTGGTGGAGCACTCTGAGGAACACCACCTGCAAAACAAAAATTGACATCACTTTAACAGCGCAAAAACATGCTGACAACAATAATGCTTACTCATCGCAAATAAAGCCTGCAATTTAAAAAGCAAAACATCAAAAAAGCAGCTCAATGCAAAGCACAAGGAAAGGTGTATGGAGAGAAACATGTGCTCGCCTTTGCCATTCACAGCCGCTACAATAGAGGATGGTGGAAGGGACCGCAACCCACAGCAGGGAACACCATCATTCAATACCCTGCAAAGGATCGCACGCAGAAGATCTTTGAGCAAGCTCCCTGAAACTGAGAAGTACCGTAGCACCGGCACTGGGACAGGTAAGCATTAACTGGTTTTGAGAGAGGGGTACCTTTCACATTTCTAAGAAAGTAGTGACAGTAACATCAGGATCGCTGACATCACATCTAATGCAGCTTTCATAGGCCTGTATTAGATGAGAGGGCACCGCGGGCAATTCCACCATCTGGAGCGGAGGGGGAGAAGAGGAGAGCACTGACTGCTGGGAAAACGGTGATCAGGTAAGCGAGTCTACTTTATTCCAGCCCCTAGACATAAACACTTAACCCTTGCAGTACAAAAGGTAGATGGCCTTTAATCTGGTGGTATTCCCGAGTGTGGCTTGGGGTTAAATTTCAGTACCAAGAGCGGTAACCCCCGAGCCACACTCGGGATTGCGCTAAAGTGTCACTTACCTTGTCCCTGCGAGCCCGTGGTGTCCTCTGTGTGCGCCCGGCCAATGCCGGCATTCAGTTTAGTTTTCGGGCGTCACAGCGGGGGGCAGAGCCGGCGGGAAATTCAAAAGTGCAAAACATGGCAACATTTACACAGAATACACACAATACAATGTTATCTGCTATAATTACATATATGCATCAAACTATTTCACTTCAATTTTGTCCCTAGAGCTTTGTCCAGTGCCCCGCCTGCACTTTTACTGTACTCTATTGACTGTGGTACAGATCAGGCAGCGCCCACAGAATTCCCATTTACTGGACCATTTTTTTAATTTTTTTTATTATATTTTATGATTTTGTGTTTCAAACTTTCATACCCGGGATGTCTACTGGACTCTTGTTTGGACAGATTTAGGTGAGTTATTCCCAAGATTTACTAAGAATTACAGGCCTGCAATATAAAACAACAAATTGCCATGAAAAACAATGTACCGCTTTGGCATGCAATGGCAACATTTACACAGAATACACACAATACAATGTTATCTGCTATAATTACATATATGCATCAAACTATTTCACTTCAATTTTGTCCCTAGAGCTTTGTCCAGTGCCCCGCCTGCACTTTTACTGTACTCTATTGACTGTGGTACAGATCAGGCAGCGCCCACAGAATTCCCATTTACTGGACCATTTTTTTAATTTTTTTTATTATATTTTATGATTTTGTGTTTCAAACTTTCATACCCGGGATGTCTACTGGACTCTTGTTTGGACAGATTTAGGTGAGTTATTCCCAAGATTTACTAAGAATTACAGGCCTGCAATATAAAACAACAAATTGCCATGAAAAACAATGTACCGCTTTGGCATGCCAAAATCCTGCATAATCAGACCGCCAGGGAGGTTAAGGGATAGGCAGGTCTCTAAGGTGGCACCATGGCTAGCATCCTATGAATGGGGTATTTAATTACTCCGGTACAGTACAGATTCACAAGACTAACAGTACTGTGACACTGAACACAGAGTCTGGGTACAAATCAGAACCTATGAATTTTAGCGGACGTTTTGCTTTGTCATCTTCACGAGTTGGCGCTCAAGCAGAACTGAAACCGGATTTCATCTCCTTACAAGCGGTTTCCTATTTACTTTGCCCATGGCAAAAAGGAGAGATGTACCAAAGTTTTCTTTATATGTACTCTGATACTTGTACAAGCCTCCAACTAGTGTGTGCACGCTGACAGGAGGCCTATCCCAGGCTCACCACAGGCTGCGTAACACAAGTTAAACCCTGAAATTTCTTGATCACAAACCACTGAAAGAAGAACGCTTCACCCCGAACCATAAATCCCTATCCCCTCCAAGAACAAAGTTCATATACTCAGAATTGCAGCAGGGAAATTCCTCCAGACGTCACACTTTTACAGAAAAAGAGAAGTATATTGCTCAACTATGTAGACATTGTAGGATACAGACAGCATTGTGTGACAGACTAGGGCTTCTAGGGTAAAGCAATTAGGGAAGGAGGTGACCTCATAAAAAGGGGCAGCACAAGGAGGATCATAAACTGTAAATGCTTAATGTACTGCCGAGCCTCTGTAGATTTCCAGCACTTCTCCCTTAATTTCTCTACAGTGACCCTGCTACACTGCTATCTGTGTATCTACACGTAATCTGTTCATATGGTTCTCACGCTACAAGTTTTGTTTTAGGAAACGCTAATCATTTCTAGAATTCACAGGGCCTCAACAATACACACTGATCCAATCCCGGAATGGATTTGGCCAACTGGACAAATGTACAAATGGGACTGGCAGCAATACAGCTTTGACAAGAGGTATTAGAATTAAGGGGTTTGTAAAGAAGAACTCAAAACTTTTTTTTGATCCAGTAAGAAAGGGTTAAAACTTCTGTCTGCTTCTCCCCCCCCC